CTTCTCCCCCACCTCTCCGAACGGCCTCGCCTCCCCGCCCCTTGTGAAGCGCCAGTTTGTGTTCACGTCCCCGGAGGAGGTTGCGCTGGACACGGGGCGGGCCGTGCTGACAGCGGCGGAGCTGAAGGCCGTGCTGGCGGCGCATTTCGGCATTTCGGCGGGGGCGCTGCGGGTCATCAAGGTGGACGCCGCCAAGCTCAAGGTGCTGCCCGAGGACGACACCCCAGGTACGGCCACTGCACCGCTGCGGGCTGAGAGAGCATGCTGACGGAGTGTGCGATGAGAGCCGAGGGGAAGAGACGCCTCGACTTTTGAAAAGTAGAGGCTCGGTTTTCAAAGACGCGCACTGTTGGGCTTGCATCATACGATAGCTGAGACTCTGCTCATCGTGTCCCGCTCTGGAGGCTGCGTTGCTTGGGTCCAGGTGCCCGCCGCTGCCGTGCCTGGCTAACCGGAGTGCGCCCGTGCTGCAGGGACCAAGGCCGGTCAGGGTGCGCATGACCGCCTCAATGGCGACGCCGCCCCATCTCTGGACGGAGGCCCGGGGCTGGGCAAGACGGGCAAGGGGAAAGGCGCGACGGGCAAGCCGGGCTTCCGGCCGAGCAATGCGAGCCTGGGTGCATCGGTGAACCTCAAGGGACGGCCTTTTCAACTGAGAGACGGAGACACGATTGTGGTAATGGACGCGGCAGAGGACCCGGAGCAGGAGGACCCCTGGTGTGCGGACTCGCTAGGGCCCGGCGTGGGGAGCCGGGTCAAGCTGGGGCCGGCACCGCTGAACACGACGTGGGAAGGCAGCGGCTATCACAAGGGGCCGTCCATCGGGCCTACCGAAAAGAAACAGCGAAGACCAGAAGCAACCCTTCGGATTCGCATGGACGAGTACGACTGAACGAGTACGAGTCTGGTCGAGGTTCTCGGCACGTCGAATTGACAGAGTTCTTGTGAATTCCTTATGTCGATGGTACCACCCTCACCTTACAAATCTGCCACCGTGACGAAACTGCTTATGCGACTCCCGGCTCAGGTGTCAGCCTGGGATGGAAACCTTGAGGTGCATGCAGTGTTCTGCTTAATTGCAATGTCATCCGACCTTGGTACGAGACAAGCCTGCTACATGTCGACTAGCGCCATTGCGCGTCTGATTATGTGCGTAGGTTATTTGCCGAACTGACACCGCGGCCTGCAGTGCAATAGCTGGTTGTCCAAAGCTGCAATACATGTGTGCATGCGGTGCCAGACATACCGCGGATCCCCATATGCATGCCAGGGCAATCCTGAAAACGTACACAGTATAGACATCCTTGTGATTTAATGCATGAATGTGGCAAGACCAAAGCCATGGCGGCATGCCCGCTTGCAAAAATCGAAGCTCAATGAGATGTATGTTGCCCTCATTAAAATGTCCTCGATCTCTGAGTCCTACATACATCACATCAAGACGACAGCTCCGCGGAATCCATGCCCGTATCGGTTGAAACGAGAAAATGCAGCTGCCCGCATGCCATTCCAACACGTTCGGAGCTCCTTCATGAGCACATAAGTCCAACTGATCGATGCTCTTGACCTGCGTCGAGGTGACCGTGCTCTTAACAGTGTTACCTCAGTGCCTGCAAATCAAAGGAACCAATTAGCCAACAAAGGGACATCCGGAACTGCATGCAGACTCCTATGCAAGCATCTCTAGCTTTCAAAACGTGAGATCGAACATGGTGAGAAGACAAACGTGAACCCTTAGCCTAGGCCGCAAGTCCTGTAGATTCAGGGAGTCAATAAGCTGGCCTGTAAGCCATGATGCAAGAGGTGTGCACTTGCTGGCGCTTAAGACCAGATCCGCACTCTGAAGACTCTGAGATCTTCTTACTTTGTCCTGAGGGCAGGAAACAGAGCAAGAGGTGACCCTAACCGAATATAGGGACCAGCCTCACCTTAACAGGGACACAAGCGTTGGTTGACCAGCCCTGTGCAACTGTGCTGTGTCGCATTCGCATGAGCGTTTTGCGGTCCGCGGCCCATCTGCATGACTACATGGTCATGTCCGCAGACTCGGCGCGCAGCTTCTCTTTAAACACGAGATCTTTTTTGATGTGGCGCAGGTACGCCCCAAACATGTCCTCCGGCATGCTCACGTTCTGCTGGTGGTAGATGCGCATCGCCGCAACAGTGTGCTGCTCGCGCCACACGCTGCACACGGAAGGGGTGCGCATCTCAGCTGCAGCAGACGCAAGGCAGTTCGCATATGGAGTCTCTGCAGCCTGTAACGGACGTCACACACCCTCAGACCGCCAAAATTTTGCCGGCCTACCCTCGGGTAGCCCTATCCTCGTGCACGTGTCTGGAGCCCCTCCGAGCCTGCCTGCGCGGCTGCTCGCTAGTGGGCCTGCCTGCTCCGGGGTGCGCTCACCTGTCGGGGTCCATGAGGACGGGGTCGGTGAGCGGGTACGCATCCACGAGCGAAGTGTCCTGCAGCGGGACGTGCCACTCCAGGTACTTGGCCCCCTGCAGGTCTGCCAGGTTGCGGTACTCGCGCCCCACCAGCCGCCCCTTGCCCCATTCCCCGTACGGCAGAATCTGCATCACCACCGCCCCCGGCCGCAGGAGGGCCAGGTTGGCCAGCCCCGCCCCGTGCACCGCCACCAGCACGTCCAGCTGTCGCAGCGCGCGCACCGCCTCCTGCGGCCGCAGCTCCTCCAGGACCAGGGCCACCGCACGGTACCCAGCCGCCTCCGCAGACGCGAGCATCGCCTCAAAGTTGGCCAGCACGCGGGTGCCGCGCCGCTGCACAATGCCCACCACGGGGGTGCTGCCCTCCGCGACCTGCACCCGCGCAGGGGAGGGCACCTCCGCGCGCAGCCCCGCGGCAACAAAGGGGCCAAAGTCACTGAGGCGCGCCCCCGCCAGGCTCTCGCTGCGGGTCTCCAGGCCGCCGAACTCGTCGTACATGCACAGGTGGTGTCGCAGCCCGATCGTGACGCGCTCAAAGCACTGCACGCCCTGCGCCTCGCCCTGCGTGTCATTGCGCTGCCCGAGGAGGCGGATGCGGTGCTTGGTCATGGCCCCCACCAGCGTGTCCGCCGCGGGCGCCCCCCGCCACCACCATGGCCCCTTGAGGTCGGCCACAAAGAGCACCACGTCGCGCGCAAGCTGGCGGACCGTCTGGAACAGGGGCAGGAAGACCTCGTTGAAGTCATGAAATGCACCCCCGCAGTAGCCGCCAGCAGAGAACACGGCAGCAGGCGCGCGGTGATGGGAAGTGCACTCCCAGTGAGGGAATTCCTGGCTTGCCGCAGCATCCATGGCGCGGATCCTCAGCTCTGTCACATCTCTCATTGCATTGTAGTCCCACTTGCGAGGATGAGGGCGGACCGAGAGCGGCCCGCGGAGTATGGCGGGATCTCTTGCAAACAGCACAATCTCTCCCGTCTCCACATTGATTCTTACGTCGCCCTGCAGTGTGCAGACATCGGTCAGAGGGGAGTGCCTGTCACATTCAAAAGCCTCTTTATGTGTCTGCCGCTCCGCCATGGACAATTCCTGCACCTCTTCCTGCACAAGCCGCGGCACCTGCTGCTCCCCCAGCATCTTCTGGTTCGAAGCCTTCTTGGCCCGCTTCTCCTCCTTGCCTACCTCACCCTCGCTCCTCGCACCCTCCGGACTCTGTTCGCCCACCAATTTCCTAGACCCTGCTCGGAGCGGGTTGCCCCCCAGTTGCACCTGTGGCCCTGTCATTTCCAGACGCTCGCGCCCTGCATATGCTGTCCATACCAGCAGACAAATGAGTGCGCACGCACAGGCTACAACAGCATACCTGCTTGCGGTCCCCATTCCGCCAACCTTGGCAGCCCTCAGCTTGCGGTATTGAGCATAGCGGTGATCCAGCAGGCCATACCAGGCACTGGAGGTCATGCCGGCACAGGATTGGAGGATTGCACTCTCGCTTGCACGGGCAGAGCTGTCGCCTCTTCGAAAAGACGACTGCTTCACGGCTCTGCTCTGCTCGCGCTGTCCTGTTGATTTCAAATACCGTAGTGCCTTCCTCAGTTCCTGCCCCAGGCTCCTGCCTCCAGCCTTGCAACTTCCCTAGATCTGGAGTCTGGGAATTGAAGCAGATCGTAACCCGCTGTTTAAACCCTGATCAGTTATACCTACAATATTGTCAGCTCGAAACAAACGGCACCGTGTCTCCTGGTTTGACGATCTTGAAGCCCGGACGACGTGTGTACCGGTACCCAAACGTCGGATCACGTCACGGGAGGCGTCATTGCGGATGCCCATGAACCTCTACGGTACCGGTCAGCTAACCCCTGTGTGAACTCCGCATTGACGGCAACTCCAACGTACAATCAGCTTTCAATTGGAGATCCACACAATGCAGCTTGTTCATCTTTCAGCTGGTTTTGTTGGCTTCCTCCTTCCCTTTCCACTTGGCACTTCAAGGTTCTGGGTCGAGCTACAGCTTCCCTCACTGCCATGTGCATTGCGGAGCGGCAGCTGCTGAAGTGCATGTGGTGCGCTGTGAGAATACAGCAGGAGTTGCCGTCCTCGCTTGGGTTGAAATGAGCTGAGGAGGGCTGCCCCGCTTGCCTTGTTCCTGACGGTCATGGGCAGCTGGACATTCACAGGCCCGCAGGGGCACCTGCTCACATGCACGTACATCCACCCCGCATTTGACGACCGCAGGCACACCGCCGCAGCGTCCACCTGCACGCCCCTTGCGCACCAGACGCCTGGGGGCAGAGATCTGGGCCGAACTGCGGGTGCAGCAGCCCCTGATGCTGCGCTGATTGTCTCCTCAAAGGACAGCGATGGGGTACGAGTTGCTGACAGGCAGGCCAGCAATGCTGCCGCCTCCGCGGCCCACACACTGGAGAGGCCGCTCCAAAAGGACCTCGCGGCCCTCAGTTCCTGCGTGGCCCTCCGCACTGGCTGGGCGTCAAGCGCTCCGCGCCCGGTGCGATGCCCCCCCAGCATGAGCGCAGCAGCGCACCCAGAGGAGGGCGCACGCCGCTGGTCGATCGGGCATGTGCTGAGGACGGCCGCCCTGGCCCTCTTCTTTGGTGGTGCCGCCTCCTTCACGCGGCGCATCCTCGCGACGCTGCCCCCCGACTTCATTGCGCGGTGGCGCAAGCTGCTGGCGGACCAGCCGGAGGACAGTGCGGCCCTGCTGGACAACCCGCAGCCGACGATAATCTACGACCGGCATGGCACCGTGATTGCCACCATCGTGTCGGGGGGCATCGGCACCACCAAGGAGGGCGGCGACGCGGACGCGCTGCTGCAGCCCATCGAGATCCCTACCGCCATGTGGCAGGCCATCGTGGCGCACGAGGACCGCCGCTTCTTTGACCACGAGGGCGTGGACATCCGCGGCCTCTCGCGCGCCATCATCTCCCTGGGCCAGTCCGGCGGGGGGAGCACCATCACGCAGCAGGTGCGCCGCTGCCTGCCCCCATCTCCTCGTCTGCACAGACATGCGTGGGGCATCCTGTGGGGCAGGGCGCCCTTGCGTGCGTACCCTCGCTGACCCCTGCTCTGTGATGCGCCTGACCCTGCTCCGCGTGTGTGCTTGTGGCCGCAGCTGGTGAAGAACGTGTTCTTGACCAACGAGCGCACGTGGTCGCGCAAGCTGGTGGAGATCCTGCTGTCGCTCGTGATTGAGAAGCAGATGTCCAAGCTGGACATCCTGCACCTCTACATCAACAAGGTGAAGAATGCCTGCCCCCACCGAACCAACACGCCCCCAGCAGCCTCTTGACTGGCTGCTTGCATACAATGTCATTGCACTCCCAAAGTGGGGGCTTTGGCTAATGTCACCCATTAAGTCTTCCTACCTTGGGGCTTGCCGTTCTTGCCTCGGCCGTCGGCCGTCCCATAGCCGTGCTGGTGCGCTGGTGCAGATCTACTGGGGCCACGGTGTGTACGGCATCAAGGCTGCGGCTGCGCTCTACTTTGGGAAGCACCCGTCCATGCTCACCGTTGGCGAGTGCGCCATGCTGGCCGGCATTGTCCCCGCCCCAGAGCTCTACTCACCGCTGCGAGACCCCAGCCGGTGAGCAACGGGCTACCGTATCTCAGAAAGGGCGTCTTGTCCATGAAAAGGCTGCCATGCTCTGGGGGGCGCGTAAGAGTTTGTCAGCACGCTGGCCAGGCGCGGCGCCAGCCAGCGCTTGCTCAGATGTGGGGGCCTGCCTGCTTTGTCGCTGAGGGGATGGGCGGCTGTGTGCGCAGGGGCAAGAAGTCGCAGGCGCGCGTGCTCAAGGCCATGGTGGACGCGGGCTACCTGGACCTGCACACCTGCCAGCAGGAGGCGCGGGCGCCCATCCACCTCTCCTCCGGCAAGGCAGCCGGGGCCGGGCCCTGGCGGGCGCCCTTCTTCATCAGCGAGGTCAGTCCCCCGGACTCTAGCTGGTTTGGGCCTCATCCGGCCGGCTATGCTAACCAGGACCCTACTCCGCAGGATCCATGTGCAGCCATCAGCGATTTCCCCCTGGGCTGCGGCGCTGAGGCGTGTGTGTGCGTGTGTGCGTGCGGCAGGTGCTGCACCAGCTGAAGCAGCAGTATGGCGAGGCAGTGCTGCACGGGCGCGGGCTGCAGGTGACGACCACGCTGGACCTGCCGTGGCAGGAGGTCGCGGAGGCCGTCCTCAAGGAGGGCTGCGCCGAGTACGACGAGGAGCGCCTCGAGTTCGGCGAGCGCGACGTGGCGCGCATCCGCGAGAAGCTCAAGCGAGCGGAGAACGAGCGCATGCGCGGGCTGTACGAGACGGTCCTGGGCGACGCTGTGGCGGAGGTCAAGGCCGCGGGGCAGGCCAGGTGGGGCTGCGGGACAGCATAGCCACCGGTCTCATGGGCAACGGAAGGAGCCCACAAGGCTTACAGCCTCGAATTGGCAATGCACTTGATTACAACTCAAGCGAACTGCCGACGGCTCCAATTGATTGCCCGCCGTGTGGTACTGGATGCGCTCTGGTGCTCGGCACGGCGCTATCACTCTGGCTGTGCGGCACAGCGTGGCGGTGGGCTCTGACCGCGCGTGCGTGCGTGCAGGATGGAGGGCGCCATGGTGGTGATGGACCAGCAGGACGGCGCAGTGCGCGTCCTCGTGGGCGGCCGCGACTACTACGAGAGCTCCTACAACAGGGCCACCGAGGTGAGCCCCTCCGCCGCGCACGCCACGCTGGCCATTGGAGCAAGGCGGGATGTCCTCAGGGCAGGCGCAGTCGCGTGGAGTAGGAGCTGACACTGCAAAACTTGGGACGCCTTTTTGATTCCTGGGTGTTCTCATTGTCTGCTGTATGTGCAGGCGGAGCGGCCGTCAGGGTCGACCTTCAAGCCCGTGGTCTACCTCACAGCTCTCGCCGAGGGATAGTGAGCAGCCGTGACCCTCGTATACAATGGACTAAAGCGCGTCTCGATGCAGAGAACGGCTCCTGCGTAGCTCCATGCTGCACCGGTCGCTTGCGCTCTTGAGACCGCTCCTCGTACTCCCACGGTCTGCCCGTCCTGCTTGTGCTGCGCGCGCGGTGCGTCCGCCGGCTGAGCGTGTGCGTGGCTGCGGTGGTGCAGCAAGGCGCGGCACCCGCTGGTGGACGAGCCGTACACCATCGGCGGCTTCACCCCCGAGAACTTCGACCGCAAGTTCCGCGGCAAGGTCACGCTCGAGCAGGCGCTCGTCAAGTCCATGAACGTGCCCACCGTCAAGCTCTGCGCCGAGGTCGGCATCGACAAAGTCGTGCGCCTCGCCCGCGCGCTCGGCATCGAGCGCCGCCTCCCGCACGAGCTCGCCGTCTCCCTCGGCATGTGCGAGGTCAGCGCCGCCGCCACCAACTCTGCCCCATGCATCCCCCTCCTCGTACCCTGACGCTGTTGGGACTTACAAGGCGCGTTGAGCTCCCCTGGCTGACCTTCGTCCTGACGAGCTGTGCGTGTGTGCGCCGCAGGTGACGCCCCTTCAGTTGGCCAACCTGTATGCGACGATTGCCAACGGCGGCACCGTCTTCCCGTCGTACCTCATCACCAAGATCATCAACGCCAAGGGCCAGATCGACTGGGAGCACAAGGTCAGCACGCCACGCCTCCCCCACTCCCGACCTGTCCCCTCCTCTCGGCCCCGGCTCGTATGCTCACTGCGCCGGCGCTCTCTGGCCGTCTGCCGTGCGCGCTGTCGTCTCGCTGCTGACGCACACTGGGGGGGGGTGCAGGTGGAGGCGTGCGGGCAGGCCGAGGTGGGCGAGAAGGCGATGCCGGAGCTGCGCCGGCTGCTGCAGGCCGTCATTGAGCGCGGCACCGGGCGGGCCGCCAAGATTGGGCGCCCCGCGTGCGGCAAGACCGGCACCTCCGACGGCTTTCGCGACGTCTGGTTTGCCGGCTTCACCCCGCAGATGACCGCCGTGGTGAGCCCTGGCGCACGCGCAGTGTTACCAACGGGAATTTCTGTAGTGTAGCTCGGGTACCTCCTGCCCAGGCCGTCGGGCTGCTGCGTCTGCTGGCGCACTCTGCTGTCTCCTACCCCAAGCGTGGCTCTCGGCTGTGCGTCCTGGCTGACCCCCCGCTGCGGTGTGCCTGCCAGGTGTGGCTGGGCTACGACAACAACTTCACCGTGGGGGGCACCCATCCAGGTAACCGCGCCCCCCCTCCCACCAGCACCGCCCCCCTGCATTTGCCCCTCTGCCTTGATTACCCGCGTCCTGCTTCCTGCCATTGCCGTCTCCCGGCCTGCGTGCGCATATCTCGTTGCTGCTGCACCTTACTCGCAGCTTCCCTGTGCCTCTGCAGCCACGGGTGCCTCTCACGCGGCCCCGCTCTGGAAGCGCTTCATGATGAAGGTCCACGAGGTGAGCCCCCATGCGCTGCAACCCCCCTCGCCGCTTGATGCACACTGCCTTCGCTCTGTGCTGCACCCGCATGGCCAGGCTGCTCCCCTGCCGGGCCTTCCCTCAGCTGCCTGGTCGCCAACCCGCGCTTGCCCCCTGTGTGCGTGCAGCGGATGCCGGTGATCCGCTTCGAGGACCACTTCAAGCACCAGCGCAGCTTTGCGGTAATGGAGGCGGCCCCCCGCCTGCTGCGCGCCGCAGACGACGACGAGGAGGATGAGCAGCCCGCACGGGCGGACCAGGTCAGCCAGCGCCCCTGCTAGTCTGCCTGCTGCCTGCCGGGGCGCGCCCTCGTTTTCAAGCACGGGCCAGAGGCCCCTGTACGCCCTTCTGGCCCCTTGCAGCGTGCTTAGAGATGCTCGCAGTTTGTCGATGCGCTCAGCGGCTGACTCGCTGCTCCTCCGTGCAGGCTGCGGTGTATGCGCCGTTCGACCCGCGCGAGCCGGTGCCGTGGCGGCACGTGTGGGACTGGGAGGTGGCGAGCAGCCTGTGGTCGGAGCGCGAGCGCATGGGGAGCTACGTGGCGCAGCGCGCGGCCAGCATGAAAAGCCGCGGCCTAGCCGTGCCGCGCCTCGACGAGGAGCGCCCCTGGGACTTCTACGGCGAGACCGAGGCCGCCGACCAGGACGACGCCACCACCGCGCTGTGCGTCATCGACCCCATCGAGGCCCACGCGCAGCCCCCGCCTCCCGCCAGCTTCCCGGGCCTGGCGTGGCACGGCCGGCGACGGGGCCGGGGCAGCAGCGCGCGGCGCATGAAGGAGGGGGAGCGCAGCCCGCTGAGCCCGCTGTTTGGGCGGCTGTACGAGAAGTGGGTGTGGGCGGAGCAGAACGTGCGCAGCAACGGGCGCGTGCCCAAGGACATCCGCACCGTCGCCGAGTTCGAGGAGTGGCACGGCGCCATGCTCGCGCAGCAGCCCGCCCACGCTGCGCACGAGCTCACCTTCAACTCCTGCGTCGACACGAGGCCGCTCCGCCTCGAGGCCCCCAACCCCCTCCTCAGCAGGCCCCCCGCCCTGCCGAGGTTCCCCGGCATGGGTGCAGGGAGCGTGGCGCGCGGGGCAGGGCGGCCGCCGGTGCTGTCGTCGGGGTGGGCGCAGGACCCGTGGGAAGCGGAGCCCAGCAGCCCGCGGCGGCTGAGCATCAGCCACAGCCGCAAGAAGATCCGCGGCTGGGAGCCAGGGTCGCCGCGGCGCGGGGTCAGCCCGGCCGCCTCGCCGAGGGGCAGCCCGGGGAGGTCGCCCCCGGGCACACCCGCCCCGCACGAGGCGGCAGCGCAGCCCCCGAGCGGGCAGCTCATTGCGGAAGCGGTGAAGCAGGTGAAGAGCCGGGAAGCGGCGGAGAAGCAGCGGGAGGAGGAGGAGCGGCGAGGCCGGCTGCCTCTGCTGCAGTTTGGGAGGCGGAGCAAGGCGCGCGCGCAGGAGGAGCCGGAGGAGGAGGGGGACGACTGGCGGGCCGTGATGGAGGACAGCTTCGCGTCCAAGGTGGCCAACCGGTGGGGCACCGGCGAGGACGAGCCGGAGCCGTCGCCGGCGCACATGTTCAGGCTGCCCAACGTGGGGCAGTCGTTCAACCTGGGGAGCCTGAACAACTGGAAAGAGCAGCTGCAAAGAGACAAAGAAGCGACCGAGACAACATCCGAAGCCCAGGCACCTTCCAGGTTGCCTCCAAAGTTAGTCCAACAAAGCCCGGACTCTGAGGCAACTACTGCTTCCAAACTGCCCCATCCGCCAACCTCATTGACTCTGCCGTCACCTACCGATAACGAAGCCCCCACTACCCAACTATCTCCAAGAAGGTCGCGGAGGAGGTCGAGACGAAGGGTCAAAGTTGTATAGGAAGCAAATGCACCGTGTTTGGATTGAGTGGGCCGGAAGTGGGTTGGCAACTTAATAACATGCAATCATGGTTGGAAGGAAATTAAGTAACTTTGCAACGTGCTCTAAGGATGGATGCTTACCATGTCATAAATCGCCGCACCCTAATGAAACAAACCAACAAAATGCTTTGTTCCTTTCTAAGGAGAAGAATCTTCGGACATTGCAGCATCGGTTTCAAGCTTGGTTATTGTACATGGGTCGTGGTAAATAATCCTCAACATGCACTTTCATTCTGAAACCCTCTATTGAACAATTTGCAGGTTACTCAAATGGTCGTTTGCGAAGCACATTATTGTACAAATGGTGGCATAATTACCGCATTAAATGCATGTGCGTCACAAATCATCGTCGACGAATGTTTGTGTGCAGCATGCTAGCACAAAAATTTGTACATGTCTTAGTCTCGACTTTTATATTTGTACAAGTAGTCGGGGCTTGATTGACACTACGTAGCGAAGCTTAAAGAATTGGCTGAAGATACATATGCATATCGTCAATGAAGAATGTACAATGACCACGTACCTCAGCATGGCTGGTTTTTCCAACTTTTAGCCTGGTGCAGCAAGGCTTCAAACATCCGCGCTGGCAAGTCCCATACGAACTTAAAATACGTGATAATATAGATTGAAGGGCGATCGTGCATGTAACTTAGTAATGCATGTGCTCATCTACCGATCACAATGCCATGCACTGTGGCGATCAACATTAGAAATTCGATACTTGTCAGCTGATGCATGATCGAGATATGCGATAATGCATGGGATTTCCGAAGCACGGCGCTACTCATCAATCTTAATAAAAGATGAAAAAGATGTTGAAACATATCCGGCCAACAAGATAATCAACGCTTCAAACTGGAAAGTAAAGTTGTGCTTCAGCATTGCTTATAACACAATCGTGCATTGCAACACAAGCGAAATGCACACAAAAACCGACGCAATTCATTTGAAAACAGCAATTAACCAATTCATTCAACAACTTAAAATGACTAAGTTTGAGATTAGTTATGCAACATTTCAACTTCGTGATGAACCCCTTGCCGTGACGTCGACATGATGAAGTACAACAAGGCTTTCTAAAGTTGCAATCTTATTGGCCAAATCTAAAGATGAATTGTCCAGACGGTAATCAAAAAGTGTTGTCATTAAAAGCAAAAATGTGTCATACCATGTCACGCTTAGTACTCATCCAAAAAATGGTTTTGCACCGACCGGTCGATCATGGCCATGTGCACATGCAAGAGAGGCTTGCAAGGGTCTCGTGGGGCGCAGAGCTTAATCGAAGAAATATTTCGACGAATACAATTGGTGCTGACAACTTGGTTTGTCACCCCACGCCGGGTGTAGTACGCAATGATGAACACAATTGTGTATAATTCAGAGATGCGATTGAATATATACATCCAAATGGCATAGTACCTAGATCACCACACCCAACCAATGGACTCACATTAAAAGCTAGACCAAGCATATGCATGCAGCAAACGAACACAATCTTTGAGTGCGCATAAATTCAGCCGCATGTTTCCGTGACTCAACCTTGAAGAAAATAGACTCACTCAAGAACCTTTAGTGGATGAGGTGTGTTACCTCTCAGCAGCGTTTCCATCGTCCCTCTTACCATCTTGCTACCGTGAGGCTTAGGTCCCGCCGCGGTGCACCGGACCAACTATTGCAAGTAGTCATCCATGAACGACTCGCACATGCGAAGAATTCCTTCTACTCGACGAAGTTATCATGGGAACTGGAACAATCCTAAGCAACCAAGTTTGGGCATGTGCTTACGGTATTTTCAAATCTAGAAGTATATTTACAATCCCCCATTCTAGAGGGCCACCCGTTGATTTGGCTACTAAAGCCTGTCCGTGGATCGATTGCACGCCACCATCATAATTAAGAAGATGGCAACAAATCAGATTCATCGATGGAGGAAGCAGATGAACACTTCAAGCAGATCATGGTAAATTGATGGTAAATCTTATTTGTACGCCACTTTTCCGACGCATTCTTTTGCAGAAAGAAGGAACACAGTCAACGGCCAGTCCCGCAAGAACTCTATGCAACAAAGGTTTTGGCGCACAAGCAATCTATGGTGGGTACCGGGAGTATCAATCCCGTACCATTGCAATCACAATTTTGTTTCACTGGTGTCGCGACTCGCGACAAGTCTTGTACGCAGTACTGACGACCCTATTCGACGGTAATCGTGAATCCGGTCCAATTTCATGAATTTGAGATTTTCTGACATCTTAATCAACGCCGAAGTTCTGTAGAACTCGGCAGTACGGGTACGTACCCACAGTCGATACTTTGGTCTGCGCGTCCATAAAAATTGACTTCTATGGTCTCGATCGCGGAAGTTCCGACTCGACCACTCTAGAGTACCGCGGTACACACGCTGAAAGAAGTTGAAGGAATAGTGTTAGAAAAGGCGCATTTCAAGAAGCAACAATGGTGGTCAACTTTGCGCCTTATATGTCGCTTCCTGGGATTTAACCGCATCAAAGCGCTAGGTTAGAGCTTTCAAGGACCCATAATGACGCCCTTCTGAGGTGTTGCTATGCTTGTCAGCGCTTTCTACATGCTGCATAAGCCTCTTCAATTGAGCACCATTTTGATGCTTCTGTCAGAGTGTAAAGCATAACACTATTTTACAATTTTAGCACACACACTCACGGCCAAGCGGAATTCTGCGAGTACTTGTAACGTACACGTGTAACATAAACCTGTGTCGACGTTACACGAACCGCCGGTAATACTAACGGTATTCTATGTACGTACCGGGACTGGCAAATTTGCGACGGTCGAAGTCGAAAGTGACTCGGCGGCGTAACACCCCCCTTAGGTAGCTTGTGTGTTGGCGCTAGCCAAGGGAAACATAATTGGGATATTTACTTTTTGGTCTGAACAACATCATCTTCGCAGAAACAATTATCAATATTAGCCAGGATCCTATGAACGAATAAATCTTGGCTGGCGGCAGGTAAAACCCCCAACTAAAGCTTCAAATTGCGAAAAGCTTACCCTTCGTGCAATCGCCTACAAGAAAGTAGTTCCATTCGAGTTCGATCGAATGGAACTCGATCGAATGGAGGATCGAGTTCCATTCGATCGCAGGATTTAGACGTGCCTAAAGAACTCATCGGCAAGTGATAACGTTACAAAATTCGGTTCACTATGGCATGCAATTCCAGCTTGCAGCTCGGTCTTTGCCAAAGCAAAAGGGGAGCAAAAGACTCCGTATATTAACTGTTAGATTCAAACGTGCTGCCACTCGGGCTATATATTGGCGCCACTGTAGCTCTAATTGGCAGGCCGTTCGAAAATCGCAAAATGCGGAACGCGATGACGTCACGATGACATTACCGGGCGGCCGAGTGCCGCAAGTGACCTGCTGGGTTCGAGTCTCAGTGGAGACGATCGACGGTTGATCGCGCAAAAGGTTGCCTGTGTGATGTGAAACGGGTCTTGATGGCTGGGGGCGCCGAACATTTAAGGGTTGTTGAGATTAAGGAGTCACTGCTATCTTGATTATGCCCAAAACTCATATGCCATACCGGAGCAGTGTTGTCGTTGTGCAACGCATAGATTCGTCTTAATAATGCCGAGATCAAGCCTCTCTTAACGTGGCCGGATCAACGCCTTTTTGAGTCTATTAAGATTTAACGTGAGCGAGATCGGTTCGATCCACGCTTGTTGCTGGTTTTAGTTTTGTCCTTCCCGGATGCCATGACCTTACGTTTTCCAAGGCTCACGCGCGGCCTCTTTTTTGCTCGTCTTCCGGCGTTCTTTGCAAGGTTAAAGAACATGGGGGAGGCCAGTCTTGCCGTAGATGCAAAAGACGCCGTTCTAATTTGCCATCTGTCCTACAGCTCCACTATCCAGGTTTGAATACCCCGTGCAGCGCATGGAGAGGCAAAGGATTAAAGATCGTTTGAGTGTTTGAAGTCCTCAAACCAGTGATAGCTGTGCGTTCGTTTGGCGAACTCCTTCATGGGCGCCTTGAGAAAGGTGGCCAGCGTGCGGTCAAACCAAGGAATGTACTCCGGGTGATTGTGCATCTAGGGAGCCACGGTTGCCAAGTTGGTCTATTTTCTAGCCGCGCGGTAGAACCTGGGGGTGAGGAGCATCTTGGCGGGGGACTCACTGGACGGGAGCTCGTCGTAGAGCTAGCGCTCTCGCCCCTTCTGCACCAAAACAAGGGCGCCCACGCTCTAGCCTCCTTATGTGGTAACACATCGACCAAATTGTGACATGCGGATGAATCGCAAGGTCCGGTCCCCCCCCACGTTTCCGCCCATAAACCGACAGTACACAAAGCGGGTTGTCGAGGAGCACAACCTCGCTATAATAGGACATCGCACGAGCATGAATGATAACACTTCTATTGCCGTCAATCGATTGCGGCCAATCAAAAGTTTAAAATCCACCGCCACTTCGGCACAAGGATCAAACTCTCCATAAATGTCAAGGCTTCACGCCAACGCATACATCATGATGTGCATGATACCCGCCCTAAAAAGGGAACTCACTTGCTAGCGCCTCGTCATCAGAAGTGAAAGCATAGCACTTACAACAATCATGGTCAATCTCCTACATAACAAACAATACACATGTGCGATTACCCGGCCTGCACCATGCGAAAGTTCTAATATGGCACTATCAGACTAGACGAGAGAGGATGGAACGAATCGAAAGAGGTAAAAACACGCTTGGATAAGAGGCGAATCGGTGCGCCTTAGTACGAGTTCACTTGGCAAATCAAGCAATTACACAACGCAAGTAGTTCACACAGTTTGACTACTCAATGCTGCCGCTATCGTTGTCGGTGCTGCCGTCTCCTCGTAAATTCTTGCTCTTCTAGTCCCTCAAAGTCGCTTTCGTCCTTGGAAATCGAACACTTGAATTTCACTGCCCTTCGTTCTGGGAACAGGTTCCGCTTGGCTCTCTCTAGGTCTAACTTCTTACTAGTAGAAAGGTGAAAGAAGGCTTATCAAGCTTGTAGCAAGCTTATAGCAATATATAGAAAGGTGGGTCACACGCCAAATTTCGCCCGAGTTTTGTATGGTCGCAAGTTTGGAGTTTGTTGTGGGCCAATTTGATCCGTTTTCCGGTGGAGTGCCAAATCCCGGCCAACGATTATATATATCAAAAGTTCAAATCGTACTCCTTGACTGCAACTCAATCCCAGCCGTCGAAACTCCCAACACCGGTATAGTTTCGATGATTACAGGATTTGCCGCAATTCCAATGATGATCATTGTTGAGATTTGGGCACCAAGTGTGCGCGATCTTGTGGGTGATGTCGACGGTAAGCTCGACGATCACCGATAGTTAGCGATGTGCGGGTAAATGCGCGCGGGTAACAGCATTACATCCAAATGACTTATTCAGATAACCGCACCGTTATGAGTATGTTCGATAATAGCCGTAAATATTCAGATCTGCGCGAAACTCTTGGGCTTGCTTATCCGCGGTCAACTGAGCCCATAAGGCTATCAGTAAAGACCATGGCTAGGAGGTGTGCCTCTACTTGAGTGAGTTTAGCATAGCACACGGACTACATATGTGACGTGTAAGTTGATCATTCGATCATTCAATCCCAGCAACGCCGTGTTTCAACAGGTTATGGGCCCAAGGAGTTATGGGCGCACCACGGCGCCTAGGGAGTGAGGGCGCAGGCATTCAATCGTAGGCCTCCAAAGGTTGATAATTGAATTTGTGCGCCAAGGTCGGCCAATGGTTCTCTCTTATCAATGACGGCATCAACGGGGGCGGTCTGCTTTATAGTGATGCTCTTGTTGAAAGCAAGCGCCTTTCAAGTGCACAACAACTAGGAATGACTGGGGTTCATTTCATACATGTGTCCAAGTCTTATAGCCTAGCTCAAGCCTAGCTATTCCCCTAGATGATTCAATCGACGAATCGACTGTCCCCAATCGACATTGTCTACAAAAGAACCCATCAACGGCTACATTGAAATACACATCACAAAAGAACCCATGCACAATGGACTCAATCCTACGGCTTACTTTTCGCACATCCTACGGTGGATGTTCAATCATGCAAGCTCACAATGATGGTACGGCCAACCCGATGCATCGAACCTACGACTCTGTGGACGATATATCATAGGACATTAAGGCGTACTCAAGGCCAGCTAACAGTCTCCCACGCACTCTCCTATGCAATTCCTAGCTTCCTCTTGCACTTCAAAAAATTTCCGGGTGCCAACGCCTTGGTCAAGGTGTTCGCCTTCATGTCCTCCGTCTTGCAATACGCGATCTCGACCTCCTTTTGCGCCATCCGCTTCTGCGCAAAGTGATGAATCACGTCGATGTGCTTCGATTGCTGCGAAGCAATTGGATGCTTGAGGAGCCGCATTGCCCTTTGGTTGTTGCAGTAAATCAGGACCGTTTCGAGGTCCAACCCGAGATCGCCCCCAAGTTTGCGGAACCACAACGCCTCCTTCACGGCCTTCCCCACGCTCATATACCCGCCTCTACCGTCGACGCCGCCACCGTCGGTTGAAGACGGCTTGACCAACTCACCGCTCCCCCGTACAGTGGGAAGACGTACCCCGTTGTAGAAGCTTTTTGTCGACGTGAGCCTGCATAGTCGGCGTCGCAGAATGGCGTCTGCAAGAGGGTCTAGTGCAAAAGCGCGACTTAGCCTTCGCAAAGAAAGCAAAACAGTAAACGAAGGCGACTGTCAGGCCATTACAGAGTAGTAAAGTCTGTCGATCAATCTATGATGAGACATTTTGTTACGACCTTTGTAAATATTTGTAATCGCTTCGAGGTCCTTCTAATCTCCTCGAGATTTCAAAGTGGCTTCTCATGGCCAATGCTCCCGAACGTCGACATCAATGCAGGCGACCAGCGGGAATCCGCAACAAATTCTTTGTTTTCGCGTCGCCGGCGTCAACCAACTTCAAGAGGCTTGGTGCGCATGCTTTTGAACTGTGTGCTGTCCTTGATGATTGTGCATGTGCGTATGTAGCTTGGCCGTCCGCACAAAGTTGCCGACGCCATTAAAAGTACACCCGACGAAATAAATCCATTCATGCATGGCGTTAGTGGTTTGTACGGCCTAGCGGTAGGCACCAGTAACCAGTGTATGTGCTTACCCTAATGAAGTGATGTCCAAAGCGCAATACATTCATCTATTCTTCATATTGGGCGCTCGTCACGATCGAAACATCCTATATATATTGCAAAAACGACATCAGAGGGCGTTTTAAAGGTATGTAGGGTTGAGCAAGCCTCTACTATTCATGGCAGTTATTCTAGAGTATATCGACGCTAATCGAAACAAAAGTTGGTCGTACTCCGTAGCATTTTACAATGCCAATGCTGCCCATGAATCTAATAAAAAAGTCGAAGAGAGCTTGAAAATTCAACTCAAAACCTGACCTGTTTGAAATCCACCTTCTTAAATGGGGTTGTGGAATCTATGGAACCCGCCAATATTGTGCAACCTTAAGTTAACGACAAGGATGTGTGAGACCGAATTGGCGGGCCGGCCACAAAGAGCTTTTCCGCTACAGCACACTCTTTCCAACAGAATTGGTAGCGGATCATACGCTCAGGGACCTACAAAAAAGGTCCCCGAATGAGTAGAATAAAACCCAATTCTCACAACAAACACGTTCTCTTGGACGTCAATCATACTCTTTGTACAACCAGATCAATGCAAGTTTTTTGTCAATTGACGATCCAATATACTAAAAGTAGGTCGACCTGCTAAAATCCGAGTTGAGGGAAGATGCTGGCCAATTTCCAGAGCTGTGCATCTGTCATCAAAAGAAGAAAAGTGTTTGCTCCTTGTCAATTCGAGGAGTCAGATGATTGACGCATCTTCAAGAAAAACAATAGTGACTTCCCTCTTTTTTGCGACCAGTTTCAGGCAACACGATTATGTACACGACCCTCGTAACGAAACCAAATTTTATATCCATTAAAGAATCATATGATCGGCCAAAGTGCCGAGCTTCTTAGCTTCTTGTCTTGCGTCTCTCTGAAGCACGTACCGATACTAAGGGAGCACATCTGGGCCCTTACACATATGAGTTGCGTGCCATCACAGCCGTTGAAAAAAGATGAATCTGCTTCGGAAACTAATTTTATGCTAACCAGACTTCGCATACCACTCATCCACTTGTGCAAGACTGTCTTTCACGTTCCATTCGAGAGGCACTCCTATTGCCATTGAATAAGCCGGCACTGTGCCCCCGGAACCAAATGGATGGCGACAGAAGGACAGTCACGTCCCTCTCCACCGTCGCATGGGCCTTTTTCGTTCCTATGCACTGCGCCGTTGCTTGTGAGCTGGGCGCTTGCCCAGTATGAGCTTGTTCGGACATGGCGTCATGGAGTATGGACACAATCAAACCAAGCTATTACCTGCACGCCTCAAAATACTCGCCAATGGTTATTGGGCACCTCAACCTCTGCTTATGCTAGAGGGTAGCGTCTTTCCTCCGATGATTATCGACAACAATCTTCTCATGTACATTTTTACCTCGAGGCAAAGAAAATAAAGGCAACTTCGGATAAGGGAAGATAAGCAGTGGAAATAACATGGGTTAAACAGGTGTAAAATGCACCTTGAGAAATTGTTGTGGATGCTTTTTCAAAAACAAAGGGAGCTAAACCAAACTATCCAGGAATACCCAGTGCAGTTTGTTGAAACTCATGGTAGGGACCCGTATTGTAGTTGAGGTACTTGTCATCGG